TTCGCCACCGCCACCCGCGCCCTGCCGTCCGGTGGAGGCGGGGGCGAGGAATGGCGGCACCTCGTCCAGCCGCGTCGCGTGCCCAGGCCCGCTTTGCTCCCCAGCCCGACCGACCCAGCCCTTAGAGCAAATCCTTATCCCGAAGTTACGGATCTGACTTGTCGACTTCCCTTACCTACATTGTTCTAACATGCCAGAGGCTGTTCACCTTGGAGACCTGCTGTCAGAGGCGGCTCTCTAATTTGGCGAGTTAGGCGGTCACCTAAGGCCACCTAAGGCCTCTACAGATCCACCTCACCTGGTCAGTCTGCCCCTGGGCAGAGGGAGCAGTGATTTCTCATGGGGAGAATGAGCGCCGGCAATTCTCCGCAGCCTCCGCAGATCTGTCACTGTCATAGAGAAGGAGAAGCCGCGCGGCGGCGAGTCCTCAGACGCGGCTTCTCCCTCTAGTGGTGGTATTTCCGCCACTTCTCACTTCCTTTGCTGCAGAGGAGAGAGCCCGCCCGGCGTGTCATGGAGATGAAAGGCACCCGCTCCTGCAGCAAAGCCAGCGGTGGCATCGGAGGAGGACAAAGAGGAGGGTGATATTTGTAGCTGCAGTGCCATTGACTTCATGCACCGCCACGCCCCCTCCCACCCCAGAACGCAGGGGGAAGTTTTGTGAGAGATTGTGGTGCGTTCCAGCAGCTACTGCTCTGGAACGCACCGTAATTGGTGTGAACAAGCCCTAAGGGCCCAGTCCCACCATAAGGAGTTTTTTTCAAATACTGTTGTAATTGGTCACATCTGCTGCTAAAAATGTTCTATGTAAAAATCCAGCTGCTAAATACCAGTGAGCAGATGCTTCTAAATGCCAGACTGCTGCCACATATAACCCATGCTACGCCACCCCATACTGTGTGATAGGAAAGCAGGATTTATTGTGTTCTTTACTACTGAACTGTGTGTTCCTTAGATCTGACCTCTGCACTCTGTGCGTTCCTACTTCTGACCTCTGCACTCTGTGCGTTCCTTACTTGTGACCTCTGGGCGTACCTTAGATCTGACCTCTGCACTCTGTGCGTTCCTTAGATCTGACCTCTGCACTCTGTGCGTTCCTTAGATCTGAGCTCTGCACTCTGTGGGTTCCTTAGATCTGACCTCTGCACTCTGTGCATTCCTGACCTCTGACCTCTGCACTGCGTTACTTCCATAGGGTTTGGGTTTTGCGTATAGTTATTTGTAGAATTAGATATGAGACAGAAATACAATTCTAGCTCTAGGAGCAGTAAATTCCTGGCTGCTGGAAATAAACACTAAAGGGTTATCCACAAAGCTGCCGAAGGCAGCCATGTGAATAACCGACCCGAAGTGAAGTGAGCCAACGTTGTTCGGCTATTCACTTCAGGCTTGTACGGCTGATTTCAGCCGTACATCGGCTTGCTTCAGCATTTTTGGCCGACCAGAAGTGCAGAAGGAGTGCGACTCAGCCGATCCAACATCTGGATCAGCTGAGCCGAACCTCCAGCAGGCTACTCGCTGCTGTTCGGCCTATTCCCATAGGGGCCGGACAGCAGTGAGTGAATAACTGAATGCCGCCCAGCAGCATTCGGCTCGGCTATTCTGCTCGGTACCTCCTGTGGTACCGAGCAGAATAGAAAATCTGTAAAAAAAACTTAGAAAATGATTGGGCGGAGCTAGCAGTGACAGTTCACGGCTGGCTCCGCTCAGTTGTCAGTAGCAGGCTTTTGACTGGCCAAAGGCCAGCCGTTTAACTGGCCAATGGCCAGCCGTTTGGCCAGCTTTGGCTTTCACCTCGGCTCAGTCAAGCCGAAGCATATGCTACGGCTGATCCTTCGGCTAGCTTTGTGAATTACCGCTACTAGTCTTACAATATGCAATGTATACAGTTCATTTTTAATTGTTTGCTTTTTTTTTCATTATGGGTGTAAGTGGGGGCCTCACTTTTGAGTTTCGCCTAAGGCCTCACAACGTCTAGAGCCGCCTCTGCCTGCTGTGGATATGGGTACGGCCCGGCGCGAGATTTACACCCTCTCCCCCGGATTTTCAAGGGGCAGCGAGAGCTTACCGGACGCCACCGGAACCGCAACGCTTTCAAAGGCTCGGGTCCCTCTCTCGGAGCGAACCCATTCCAGGACGCCCTGCTACCTGGGGGAGTGGAGATCGACGGGGGACCGGACAGGGATACCGCCCCGTCTCCTCGCGCTCTCCCCCCTCAGCGTCCCCTCCGCAGCATCCTTAGTTTCCGACGGCTCCCCCTCTTCGGGAGCCGACCTTGTTAATGATCCTTCCGCAGGTTCACCTACGAAAACCATGTTACGACTTTTACTTCCTCTAGATAGTCAAGTTTGATCGTCTTCTCAGCGTTCCGCCAGGGCCGTCGCCGACCCCGGCGGGGCCGATACGAGGATCTCACTGAACCATCCAATCGGTAGTGGCAACGGGCGGTGTGTACAAAGGGCAGGGACTTAATCAACGCGAGCTTATGACCCGCACTTACTGGGACAACCACGGTCCTGAACGTTCCTGTACTTCAGGTTCCCCCGACCATAGTCTACCATGGAAAGAGAGAAACACCAAAGAGAGAAACATCTTTATTTCTCCGGAAGCCGCCGGGAATTAATATTTTGCCATCCCGAAGCAAGAGTCTGTGGTGGACAGTCCCTCGAGGCAAGCAAACACTATAGTGCGTAGCCAAGACTATCCCGTCAAGGAGTTTCTTGGGTGAGTTTCGCATCTCTTCGACTGTAATGTTCCACCTGCGCAAAATCCCCACTCCCCACTCCTCTTTTAAAGTGTATCTACAGTATAATCAAAACGTTATTGTATAAAGTATGGAAGGGTTAAGACCCCTGCCAGGTTATTTTTTGCGTTCTTTGTACCATTGGGGAAATTTAATTTCACTTCCTGTATTAAGACTCGACAGCTAGTTAGAATACATCTCCCAAAGTGAGGGGCATTCCCCTCTTAGACAGTTGTCCATGGGGCAGGTGTCCCAATTAGTAGATGTTCACTCTCCTCTTGTTCTGGGAGCAGATCTAAAATGTTGGATTTCCTCTCACTTTCATTTTTGGTAATAATGGTCATTAGTAGAAGTAGAGTGGTGAATCTCCCCAATGGGGACACAGACAGCAATAAAACTTGATAGAGTGTCTAGCTTTTCCACATTCTATCCAGTGAAGACATACACTTTAACATGCATCAGACATTTCAAATTATTGTGTATGTCTGTCTCTTGCATTCTGGAATTTTTAATAATACAGAAAAAGGGACTTTCACAGATTTTGTATGCCTACATAGATATAGTTTGTCAGCAGCTTGCTTTTTTTGCACAGGAAGTTACATGTGGTGAGATATTTTCTTTTTGGCAGGAAGTGTGCATGAAGCACACTTTACATTAAAATAGGCAGACACACACATTCGGACTGAGGCAGATCGATATATACGGACACCAAAAGAACCAAGAATACATACCACTAAGAGACAGACATGTATAAATCATGCACCAGTTATTAGATTAATATTTGCATGTTTACACACACTGAAATTCATAGGGTCTCCAACATGTAATTCGATCCCTAAGAATTCTACTGGCATCCACATGAGTTGTACGTACACTTACTGGAAAACGAAAAAGTGGACTGCGTGGCCTCTGCTATTGTATATCTGCAAGAACTTGATACAAGACTGCTTGTAAGGTAATTATGTTTATTTTACGTGATCTTGTTGACACATGGAAGATGATGAAAAAAAAAAAGGAACATTGGTTAAATAGTATCATTGAGCAGTCCATTGTCAGTCATTTGCTAAAATTGATGAAATAATAATCTGATTACCATTGTAATGTTTTTCATCTTGTTTTGTACCAGCTATTTGTTACTAGTTTAAATAAAACAAGTTTTAATCTTTATCTATAGCGGTATACTTTCCCCTATTAAATCTTTCTACATTTTAAAAATAAGAATGCATTTGTATTAGACTATAGGGTTTTGTTAAAGAGACCCTCACTTTTTGGTTATGGTTCTTTTACTTTGCGGCGGTCAGGCACCTTTTTTTCCGGATGGCTTAGAAAATGGCCATAGAGGTCTGTGATCGCACACAGAGCTGTAGTGAAGCTAGAGCCTGCATTGCTGCCATAATTTAGGAGGTTGCGTAAAACAGAGCTTGTTAGGGTCGTGAGGCTAACGATGGCTATAACAATGCCCTCGGCATTAAAACATTTTTTGTTATAGCTGCATTTGCTCTACTTAACTTTTGCATTGTTTAACCAGTTGACATCCGCGGTGTTAAACCCCCTTCACATCCAGGCCATTTTTCAGTATTCAGCGCTGCGGTACTTTGACTGACATTTATTCCGTCATGCAGCGCTGTACTGAAATGAATTTTATACCCTTTTTTGGGGACAGATAGAGCTTTCTTTTGGTGGTATTTATTCACCACTGGGGTTTTTATTTTTTTACTATATTAAGGAAAAATCACCGGAATTAAAAAAAAAAAACAGTTTCCCCTATATTAAATGATAAAACATTTATTATTACCCAATTTTTTGGTAAAATATAAAAGACGGGGTCACGTCGGGTAAAAAGACACCAAACATATCAAGCCTTAAAATTGCGTGCGCGCGCAAAACCTCAAAAAACGATAATACCCAAAATTGGCCATAGGCGACGCTTTAAAAGCTGTTACCGCTCATCAGTTTAGTGTTATCAGTGATTGATGGCCCTAAAATGATTGCTCTCACTGCGACGTTCACGGCGATATGTAACATGTGTAGCGCAATTGTAATTTTTGCGCGCTGGGGCACCGGACGCGTATTTACGTTTATAGGCGCGTAAAAGTGGGGGTGGGGGAGTTAAACATTTTGGGGGGTTTTTTCCCATTTTTTTATATGTGACTTTTATTTTATTTTACTTTTTTATATGTTACTTTTATTTTTTTTTATTTATATTAATTTTTTTGCACTTTTTGTTGTTTTGGTCTTTTCTGCCCGTGCGTGCCCGCTAGGGGGCGCACGCGAGCAGAAAAAAATGCCGTCTGGCGACGGCAACCCGCCAATACAGCAGTGCCGTCCGTCCGTTTTTCTACTACGGGCGGACGGCAAGAGGTTAAAATTGACATGGCGTAAGTAGACATTTCATTCTTACTTTATGGGTTTTAGGTTTTGACCAAAGTAGAATTGCATATAATAACATAGGATTAGAATTCTTAAATGCAGTAACCTTTAGCAACCATGAGGAATATGCTCTTCTGAAGTCAGACAAGGACAAAATAAATATTGATGGGTTGCTACTGGTGACTGCACTTAAAAATTAGCACTCTTTATTGAGTGAAGTTGTATACTTTTGGTCTTAGACCTGGAAAAATGTCCACAGTTTGTTCCAGGTTAGGACTAGGTTTACAAGCAGAGGCTTGATCAATTTCAATAATAAACATAATGTTTATAAAAGGATGGTTTCTGATGTCCTGCTATAGGTTACCACACCTGGAACATTTGTCATAAATAACCCCAAATGGAAAAATGAGTAAGCTTGTTTCCTGTATTAGCAATCAACATGTTTTTTCCAAACTATGTATTTTTGTCAATAAGCCACAAATATACAATAGTTATAAGGAAGTAAGAGAGCATGGTCTACCATGGGGTACTCGCTATTACTAAAAATGTTACTATAATAAAGCACATTATGAGGTCATATTCATCTGCCTCTACAGTTCAGCATAGCGATCTATACTGGAAATAAAGGAGAAGTATTGTGCGAGTAAAATGTAGTCTTTCCAATACTTCCCAACGTGGAAGTGTCACATGTTGACCCTATAGATCGAGAGCTAGGCAACCACGAACCGCTGATCACTCCCCACTGGAATTCCCTCCTCTCCTCTCTTTTCCTACAGCACAAATTGGAGAGACAAACAGGGGAGAGGGCAGGCACAGCTCTAGAGAGGCAGAGCCAGTTGTCAATCAGGCAGCGTAGCGGATCCCAACAATATTGTTGTGATCCTTCCCGGTTGCAGTGCAGCTCTGCGCAGTCAGAAAATAGTGGGCAGTAGCCTGCCAGATGCTGACTGTGGGTCACGGGAGCATATTAGTAAATGTACTCCTGTGACTGAAAAGAGTACTAAAGCCCCCCCCCCAAAAAAAGTTTGGCTTTAGTTATTTTCTAAAATAACAAGATAGTATTGCTTACAAAGGGTGCCCACTATCATAATGGCACATTGCCAGTTGTTTTTTTTTTTACATTAGGGGATTTTACCTTCCAACTGTTCTAATTTATTGAGAAAGCCTTGATTTTTCTGCACTTTTTAAAGGGTGGAACATTGAAACTGAATTTATTTTTGTCAAAATAATATTTTACTTGGGCAGAATTAAGATTTGAAAGCATCCTGAAAAAGAACTTTGCATCCTAAGGTAATAAGGTAATACAAATATTTATTATGACATCTTTGCCAAGAGTTATAGCAATATATATAATATTTTTTGCAGTTGGTAAAGAAACTCTAGTTAAATTTAAAACATTTCCAAAGTTTATAAAAACAGGTATATATTAATAATTAACAATCTAGTCTTGGTATCTAAGTGTGTGTGTTTGGGGAGTGATGAAGAGGATAGGAGGAGACAGGGCTAAGCGCTGCCTTAAAGTGACACTAAACTCTGGAGTTAAATCTTGAAAATGCATTTAAATACTTTAACTATTAACAAAACTACACCTTATTTGTGCATCATTTAGCTGTAGATCCTCAAATCCTCTCTGAATTTGTGCTGACATTGTGCACTGTGTGTTGTAAAGTAGCCACTGATCCAAGCTCATTCCTGTGATAAGAATATAATTTCAATATAAATTAGTAAACTAAACATGAGATTGTAGTCCATCACGGGAGCCAGCTTGGAGTGGTGGCTACTTTACAACACACACAGGGACCATGAGGAACAAAAGTATCCACCCTCCAGAAGGAAGGACAGTGTCAGCACCAATTCAGAGATGATTTGAGGATCTACAGCCCAGTGATACACAAATATTAGCAAAAAGTTTCACAGCATACTCACCAACCAGCATGCAAAAAAACTTGTCTCACCGCTAAGTTTAAAAACAGAGGTTTAGATACACGTCTTCTGCAGAAAATGTAAAAGCCACACAGCCGCGTCAAGGCACCTCTATATAGTGCGGTCCTAACTCTAAATATGAGAGTCTCCATGTTAGGTTTGTGGTGCGAGCCCGAGATGACGAGGAGGACCTCCCTTGCAACCCCGTCTGATGACCACTGGGGTTGAGAACAGTAGGGTTCAGGCAGGGGATGCACGAGTGCCAGATGCGGAACTGTAGGTCACGAGGTCTACTTGGTGACCTAGCAGAATAGCCGCCGTGCTTGAAGGGTAAGGCAGAAGGAAGCGTAAGAGACTAGCCGGGTCAGTAGCGTGCGGGCAATACGGTACAAGGGGTTAAACCTGAGAGAAATCCAGAGACAAGCCGGGTCGGTAACAAGCGAGCAGCAGAGCACAAGGATAA